AGGGATGTGGGGGTGGGGGAGGGATGAGCAGCTGGGTACCAGGGAGGTGGGGGGTGAGCAATAGCAAGGTGGGTGGGCTTTCCTTCCTTGGAGGTTTTCAACCCTGATTCCTCGGAGCTAGGCAGTGAGTGGCTGGTTCGCAGGGCCTGTCTGCAGGATGCCCTCCACAGTCCCCACCTGTCCTGGAACTAGCTGTCAGCTCATTTCTCATGGTTACCTTCTCCTGTTGGACGATGGCACCTGAGCTCTCGGAATTGCTCTCACTAGCTGAGTGGCTGCAGACAAACGCAAACACCACTGAGGCAGGATGAGGGGCTTTCACTGTAGCAAAAGCCTCTGTCTGTCTCAGGAAGCCATGGCACATCTGTGCCTCCAGGTGACACTGATTCAAGTCACATACTCTTGCAAGGTAGGGTCCCCATGAATAGCACATGCTTTGAATCAGGTCCCTGGGGCAGGATTGCAGCTGGCCTCATGCTGCCCTGCGGTCTGCCCCTCACCATGTACTCCATGCCCCCCTGCCCCCGCAGAGCTCCAAAGTCCTCGCTAAGAAGGAGCTGCTGTACGTGCCCCTCATTGGCTGGACGTGGTACTTCCTGGAGATCGTGTTCTGCAAGAGGAAGTGGGAGGAGGACCGGGACACAGTCATCGAGGGGCTGAGGCGCCTGGCTGACTACCCCGAGTACATGTGGGTGAGTGCCTGGTGGGCAGGGAYTCCCAAGGGGCTGCCCTGGCTGGTGACAGCTGGCATTCGTAGCCTGCCCCTGTTCATTCCGGCAGCCCAGATCACGGTTGTCAGGCCCCAGGGGACCTCCTGCCTCTGGTGGTGCAGACCTGGGGGCTTCCTCAGGGAGGTGGGGTGGGGTTTCTGCCACCCCACCCACCACAAGACCCTCCCCAAGCCCGCAGGCCCTGCTCAGCCTGTGCCCTTGTCTTTTTCTGCATCTTCCCTCTGGTCTGTTCTTGGAARCCTGGCTCCTTATTTAGTATGTTTAATGCCCATGCTGTCAGGGGTGGACAGACCTTCTCCACCCTGCTCAGAGGCTGCTGCCCAGAGCTGCTTTCAAGTTTCACTTCTTTCTGGAGACTTCTTTCAGGAAAGCTGGGCTGCATTCCATTGCAGCTRGAAGGCAGGGTGCAGCCCTAAAATAAAATTGCATTTCAAAGAACACCATGGCTTGTCACCAGAGTGGTTCTGTGTCTGGTTCTACCAAGTCAGCAGCAAGTGCTTCGCTGTGGCTCAAGGCCTCCTGAGACCTGGATCATGCTGAGCCTGACACTTCCAGGCTTCGGTTCCAGCCGCAGGCCCTGGCATAACCCTCTTGCCCCCATGTTCCGTGCCCTAGTTCCTCCTGTACTGTGAAGGGACGCGCTTTACGGAGACCAAGCACCGCGTCAGCATGGAAGTGGCCGCCTCCAAGGGGCTGCCCCCCCTCAAGCACCACCTGCTGCCTCGGACCAAGGGCTTCACCACCGCGGTCCAGTGCCTGCGGGGCACAGGTAGGAGCCCCAGGGCCGGAGCAGAGCCTGCCCGTCGCGGCCCTCTGGTCCCTTGAGCCATAAGAAAAGCAGGGACTTGTTCAGAACAAGCGTGTTTCCTGTATACACAGGACACCAAAGCATAAAGGGGAGAATGGAGTAGGTGGGTCRTTGGTCTGCAGGTCACTTTCTGAGGTGATGAGATGCTAGGTAGTGGGAAACAACTTTAGTAAAAAATAATAAAATAAAATAATAAGAAAACGTATGTGGTGGCAGACTTCACGCAGGAGGACAGAGCAGCAATGTGTCTAGTTAGTCTGAAAGGCTGGAGGGAAAGGGAGACAGTAGGGACCCTGGAGCCACAGCCACATTGGGGAGCAGGCTGCATGCTCTGTGGGTAAAGCTGTCCAGTCGCTGTCCCTCGGGCAGCAGCACCGCCCTGCAGTGTCCGTGTCCATCCGCTCACAAAACCGGTTTCTCTTCCTCAGTTGCAGCCGTCTATGACGTGACCCTGAACTTCAGAGGAAACAAGAACCCATCTCTGCTAGGGATCCTCTATGGGAAGAAGTACGAGGCGGACATGTGTGTGAGGTGAGCACGCTCCGCCCCTGCTCCTGCCAGGAGCCTAGGCTGCACAAGCCGCAGGGCACATCGCAGTGTCAGAGCTCTGCAACAGCCCTGTCCTACCTGAGCGGGAGGCCTTCCATAGGTCATGTCCAGGCCTGGGGGCTTCAGGCCATCCACTGGAGAACGTGGGACCAAGGGAGGAATAGAGGGGCCTATGCGTCCCCAGCTGTGTCTGCCCTGGGCCAGCACAAGGCTCCTCTCCTGCCCCTCCCTCCACCCTTGGAAGCCCAGGCGGATCCCTAGGAGTAAAGCTCCCTGTCCCTCCCTGGTGTGCTGCAGGTCTGGCCAGGGTCAGAGGTCTRGAGCCCCAGGTGCTGACCACTGACCTCCTGTGGAAGGCTGAGAGCCAGGTCCCTGCAGAGCCTTCTGGTGGAGAACACCTGGCCCCTGAAGACACCAGTCCAGGGAGGGCTTCAGCAGGGTCCAGGAAGGCAGGGCCTGTTAGATGCCGTGTTGGGTGTGAGGGCTTCAGAACACTGTGCCCTGCCCTGTCCTGTGAGGCTCAGGAAGGATGCCTCTCATSCCCGTTCACAGAGCGCCCTGTGCCATCGCCACTCCTTGGTGCCCCCAGTCTCTCTGGCTCCTCAAGAGGAGGTGACCCACCGAGCCCCGATTCGAGGCCTAGGTGTGTCTGAGTTAGCCACAGGTGTCGTCCCTGTGGGCCTCCTTATCTGTCTCTCCTCTGCGTGAGGGGCCAGGCGGCCGGACGGTGCTCTGCCTCTTCTCCTCGGTGGCCCCTGGCCTTCCCCAGCCTGGCGCTCTCCTGGTTCCTGTTGGCTGTCCAGCCTTTTCTGATGGGTTCATCCTGGTCACTGACCTGGGAGATGGCACCTGCCGCCTTCATGTTAGCGAGTTTATAAAAAAATGCCAACAGCTCTTGTGTCCACACTGTGGGAAGTTCCCAGGGACAACTCGTGACCTGTACAACAGGCTCGATGACTTTCCTGGCAGTTGGCAGGCTAAGCAGAGGTTAGGGTCTCTTTGCACCCTAGAGGTGCACAAGGGGTGCGAGCCGGGCTCTCCTCCTTGTATTGCTAATCTCTGGCACAGGTATAGTAGTTCACCTGGGGCGCTGGTCAGTTCCCGTGGCCAGGTGCTCGTCAGCTTTGTGTCACTGTACAAGTACCTGAGGTCATCACCTTATAAAAAGGAAAGGCTCAGCTCAGCTGCCCCTCAGTCTTCACCCACAACTGGTGGGCCGCTGTTCCAGCCTGTGGGGAGGCAGCGCCTCGTGGCCCCACGGCCCCCTGTGAGGCAGGCCCCTGACCAAAGGCCGCCCACAGCCCCTCGTGAGGTTCCCACCCCCCACAGCCTCCCTGCAGTCCACACCTTGACAGCTGGGTCTTTGGGAGACACTCGAGACCCAAGCCCTAGCTCTAGGCTGGCGCCCAGACCAGGGTTGAGCCTTGGTGGTTCTGTCACCCTGGCAGGGAGCCCTGGGGGATAAGTGGCAGAGACTGTCTGGGCAGCTGCCCAGGGCCAGAGCTGCTCGGTGGCCCCCTCCGGGGCTCAGCCTGCRGAGGCCGCCTTGGTCTGCCCATTGCCCTTCGTGGGGTCTGTTCTGCCGTCCCACTTCAATAGCTGGGTCCTGAGAGCCCCGGGGCTCAGTGGCTGGTCCTGGCCATGTCGTCCTTCAGAGCAGCTCCATCCAGCGGTCCAGCGTCCCCGCCCTGCAGGGCCCAGGTCTTCGTGCCATGGCCTTCCGCCTCCCTCTCACCCCACAGGGGCTGAAGTCTAGGAGCTGTGGCCGGCCTGGCTGGTCATCGCCGAGGCCCCAAGGGCCTCTGTTCTCTCTGCTTTCTGCTTTTCACTGTTAGTTTGAAGCTACGATACAGCTGATTTGGCCCCCGTTAAGTCCACCTGAGCCTGGTTGGCTCTCAGGGCAGCTGACCTGTCCCCACAGGCGGCTTCAGTGCTGCTCCTCCTTAGCCAGGTGACCATGCAAAGCTATGGCGGAGTTGAGCAGAGGTACAGCTGCCCCCTGCGAGTGACACGGGTCATCTCCTCTGCTGCCCTTCTGTGTGCCAGGACTTGTGCGCCTTCCCAGAGGGAGGAGGAGCCAGTCCTGGGGCAGAGGCCCCTCCTGCCTGTGCCCTGGTGAGATAGGTGTGGCCCTTCCCACGGGCCACTGCTCCTCCTGCTGATGAACACAGAAGCACTGAACGGTCTAACGGGATCTTAGTGACTTGTACTTTCTATTTATTCAACGTCCAACTTACCTTCAACATGGGAGCTGTGGTATGTCACATATGGAGATTTCTCCAGTTACTGTCAGGCTTTACCTGCGTACCCCTCTTCCCCTGCAAACGGCCCCAGGGCTGGCGACGCAGGTGTAGATTTGGATGCAGCGGGTCAAGACTCCATCTGAAGCAGCTGTTGGGAGGCTAGTTTAAAGCTGCTCTGTTTCTTAATTTCCACATTTGAAGCAAGTAGGTTCCCCTTGTGAGGAAGTGACCTTCTGTCCCTAAGGAAAGATGTTTTCACTCAGAGAACGAGCATGTCACTGGGCGCAGTGGCGCACGCCTGCAATCCCAGCAGCTTGGGAAGCTGAGGCAGGAGGGTTGAAAGTTCCAAGTCAGCCTCAGCAACTTACCAAGACCTTAACAACTCGGTGAGACTCTGTCTCTAAATAGAATATAGAAAAGGTCTGGGGACATGGCTTAGTGCTCCTGGGTTCAATCCCCAGTACCAAAAAAAGGCGGGAGTGGGGGGCTTGCTGGAAGACCCAGCCTCCCAGGAAGCACAGTTAATGTGGTGGCCTTCACAGGGGACCGGCTCATGCTCTGTGGCTGGGTCACTTGTGGTTGTCCCCAAGCCTAGAGGCATCCCTCGGCCTCTCTGGGTGCCCAGCAGAGTCAAGACTGCAGTGGACTTGCAGTAGTGTGTGCCTAAGAACCGGCGTCCCCTGTCACTCACTCTACTCTTGGTCCCATGAAACAGGAGGTTCCCGGTGGAGGAGATCCCTCAGGATGAGAAGGGGGCAGCGCAGTGGCTCCACAGGCTGTACCAGGAGAAGGTAAGGACATCCGCTCCCCTGGGCCCCGACTCCCAGGCAGGTGTCGGGCYGGCGAGGAAGGGCAGCCGGTGGCACAGAGCACACGCTCCTCACGGGCTTTTGGTCCTCCTCTTTTTTCTTCCCTTTTCCTCAACTTCTGAGATGTTAACTAGAGAAAAAGGAGAAGGATGACATCACGTGCACGTAAGCATGCKGAGACTGTCTCATCACACCTGTTCTTTGTACGCAAAACAAATTCTAGGTACTGAACAGAGACACTCAGGTCCTGGATGAGATACAGACAATGCTAGAAGGCTCTTATGGGAACCACCCATGTCCTGTTCCCATCCCCCACAGCGCCTCCCCCATACCCGCTTCCCATGCACTTTGAGCACACAGTACCTGGGATGTTGGGTCTCCATTCTCAATGTGCTCGGTAGTCACTAGAGAAATTCCTGGAGCCTTTGAAAAACAGCATTTTAAATGCCCTGATAGGTTCTTAAGAAAGTAAGGGAAATCTCTGGGGACCCAAAAGGGAGACAGAACTGAACACCAGGGTGACCAGCCCACACACCATGTTACAACCTGGCTGCGGCATCTCCTCTGACTTCCGTGCCCTCAGCCTGGGCATGGGACTTGTGCCAACAGGCAGCTCTGGAAGCATAAAAAGTGATTCCAAGAGAATCCCCTGGAGTTGCTGAGAGAAACCAGCACCACACTGGAGGAGCATGACCCAAGCCACGCTGTCCAGCTTCGCACGGAGGAGACTCCGCAGAGATGAGCTCCTCACTCCAGTCCAGGCACTGGGAGAGCAGACCTCCTCCAGCCCGGCAGGCTGGAAGCCACAGCCTCGACAGAGACTGAYGGGCGAGCAGGGAGAAGCCCACCCAGGAGGAGGGTGTTCAAAATGAGAAGCACAAGAAAGAAGGGAAGGGAGAGGACGAGACCTGGGAAAGGAGGGGAAGTCCTGAGAGCAAGCAGAGGACGGCAAGCGGCCAGAGAGGGCAGGCACTGGACGGGCGTGAGCCGTGCCCAGGCTCCCCATGCTGAGCATGCACATGTGCACACATTTACATGTTCGTTATGTACAGGTGCACGATAGAGCAAACCCAGAGAAAGTGACAAAAATGACGGCAGGAATTATTTAAACAGAAATTAAAGCTATAGAAAAGCAAGTGAGATACACCAAAAGCATTTTCCATAGGAATATTAATGAAATAGAAAACCTTAGGCAAGAGCAGTTAATGAGATTGTGGACTGAACAGGAATGTGAAAGGAGAGCAGGGAGGAGTGAGGTGGACTCTGTGCCGTGTGCTTGGGAACTTGGAGAGAGCACATCATTTCTGTCAACCTCTCTTTATGATAAAAGTGCTCCTCAACACAGTTAAGGCCAAATATGATAGCCACCGCGAGCATCATCCTGAGTGGGTGGAGACCGGAAGTCCACGGTTTGCCCTAAGGCCTGGGGCGAGGCGAGAAGGCCCACCCTCACCGCCCTACCCAGCTTGGCCCGAGCACTTAGTCAGGAGAAGGAAAGAAGGGCCATCACAGTGGAGATGGCCTACCCCATTTGCAGAGGGTGTGATCTCATGAAGAGAAAAGCCTAAAGACACCATCAAAACCRTTAAGATTGATAAATTCAGTAAAGGTACAGGATACAAGATCAACGTATAGAAATCAGTATAGCTTCTATGCACCAAAAACGAACTAACTGAAAAAGAAATCCCAAGAACAGCCCAGTTTACAACAGCTACAAACAAAACCTAGGAATACACTTAACCCAGGAGGTGAAGAATCACTACCATGAAAACTGTAGAACATTTATGAAAGAAATTAGAGACATACAGCAAAAACTAGAGACGTTCAATGTTCACGGGCTGGAGAATCAAGATTCCTGTGGGACCACAGCACAAACCAGCAAGATCAAGGTGGAGGCTGCAATGCCTTACTAACTTCAAAGCACCCTTCAGAGTCCCAGGGACCCAGACAGCATGGTCCAGGAGTCACACGGGCCCTAGGCCAGCAGAACAGGACAGGGAGCCCAGGAATAAGTCCCTGTGTTTTAGCGCCCTCACTGCAGGCCTCCCCTCGGAAGAACTTACATTGGAGCCAGGACGTTCTCGCCAATGAGTGGTCATGGCAAAGCGTTCTCCTCATGTGGAAGACTAAAAGCAGACGCCTGTCACCACACACCAACTCAGAGCAGGTTGAAGGCCTCAGTATGAGCCTCGAAACTGAAACTGCTACAGGAAAATACAGGGGAAATGACCTAAGCGTGTCCGTGGTTTGGACATAAGCCCAGAAGCCTAGGCACCAAAGGCAAAGTTTGACAATGGGATTCCATTCAACTAAAAAGGTTCTGGACAGCAGAGGAAACAATCAGCAGAGGGAAGAGATAACCCAGAGGGTAGGAGAAAATGTATTCCAGCTATTACCTGAAAAGGATCGATAATCCACAGTACTGTCATTCAAGCAGTTGAGTACGAGGAAAAGAATCCAGTTTAAAAATGGGCAAATGATCTGAAAGGATGTGTTTCAAGAGAAGGTCTGCAAACGACCAACAGTACATGAAAACATGCTCAGCCTCACTAATGACCGGAAGCGCAGCAGTGGCATCTCGCTCTAGTTAGGACAGCTCTTGTCAACAAGACCAAAGACAAGCCTGTTGTTGAGGATGTGGAGGGGGGACGCTCATACACTGTTGGTAGCAACATAAATGGTACAGTTGTTATGGAGAACACTACGAAGAGTCCTCGGAAAACTAGGCATAGGGTGGCGGGYGGCTCAGTGGCGGGGGAGTCCTAGAACACATGAGGCCCAGGTTCCACGGCCAGCCCACGAGGCAGGGAGGAAGGGGGGACTTGAAATGGCACCATGCAGCCTCACACCCACCCCTGGTCTCTCACAGTGCTCATCAAGTAGCCAAGATGTGGGATGGACCAGGCGTTCCTCAGTGGATGTACCCAATATGACACTCCTCACCCTAAAAACTATTACAACCCTCATTTGAGTAACAGAGATGGAACTTGAGGACAGGGTGTTAGTTGAAAAAAGTCAGGCATAGTAGGACAAATACCATGTGTTCTCACTCAGATGTGAGCTCCAAAAGAAAGCTCAGAGGTAGAGAGTTCTGAGATGCTAGGGAGGCAGGGGATAAGGAGGGTGGAGAGAGGATGCACGCAGATGGATAAGAGACACCCTACCACCAGCACAGCAGTGATTAATTATGTGTTTCACAGTCAATAGTAGAAAGRTTTTGACTGTTCCCACCATGAAGAAATGATAAGTGTTTGAGTGACGGATGTGCATTTCCTGAACTGGTCATCACACACTGCATGCATGTACTGAGACCTCACTCTGCGGCCCATAACCATGTGCACTCACTGCGTGTCCTCCAAAATGTGAGGGCCAAGTGTGGGCCCCTAAAGCAGCRTGACTCTCACAAGAAGAAAAGACAAATGGAAATAGTGTGTCCTGCATCCTGTAGCTGCACGGCTGTGTCTGTCTGGTTACACCAAGTGCTAAGAAAAGTGCCTCTGGTCTCAGGTCACGATTTGAGACTCTGGAACTCCTAAGTGGAGTGACGCTTGCCAGCAGCAGTWCTGGTCAGCAGGAAATTAGAAACAGCCCAGAAGTTCGTGATTAGGAACAGTTACGTCGTGTTCGTCGGTCCGTTTGAGGTGACTTGATGGTTAAAATGAATGAACTAAATGTGCTCTCAGCACAGCTGGATCTTGAGAATGTGCCTGTGGGAAAGCAGGCTGCGGGATGCTTGCAGCCTGTCTAGCTCCCAGGACGCTGTGGAACCTGCAGGCAGCGCCGGGCACCTCTGTTCATGCACACAGGGCATGGCGACGCGGGTGAGCCAGGCACAGCCCTGTCCTCCACCTCTGGCATCTGTTGTCTAGAATAAGCTGAGGCCAGTGCAAGTGGGAGTTCTGACAAGTGACCCGGGCTTGGGTTTCACGTCACCTGCAGTTTTCCCAGAAGGTGTGATGCACAGTGACAGCACCCTCAGTTGACTCTCAAGTCCTTGTTTTGAGGTTTGCATCAAGGACAGTGCACCGCAGAGGGACACAGTGTCCGTGGCAGTCTTTTGTTTCTTTCTTCTTGGTCACTGCTGTTTCTGAGGTCCATCCTTAGTGACAGACTCGGCTCCTGCTCCTGTAGGAGCCGGGAGGCTCCACGTGAGCAGTGTCCATTCGAGTGGCTCCTTTTCCTGCCTGTGAATGTTGAGGCCATTTGTACTCCTAACAAGAACAGTGCCAGGCTGCTATGTGTGTCCAGCACAGCTGCTCCTGGCCATGCAGGTCCTCCATGAGCGGCGGGAATGGGCACAACTGCAAGCCCGTGTTTGTTACCCCGCCCCCCATTTTCTATACCACAAAATACAGCAGAATAAAATTGAATGCGAATTGAAAATGAAACTGAAAACGAAAAGGAAATAAAGTGTATGGCGTCACACTCCCCAGGCAATTACTGACATGCGCTGCATCTTTCTAAATTCAGGACTACACACGCTCATAGTCATGCGTATTCTGTAATTTCGAGGGCATTGTTTGGCACTTTAACCTCTTCTGTCAAAACACTAACAATGCCACACATGTGTCCCCTTCTGGATGTGGAGCTACCTGGCGGTGTGTGCTGGCTGCAGGGACCTGTCGTGGCAGACCTGCAGCTTGTCCCCCAGCCGAGCTCTGTGTGCAGTGAGCCCCCGTTGTCACTGTGGAGAGAGCCTGGACAGTGTTGTTGGCGGATCAGCTGTGGCCAGCTGCACCTGCATGCCACCCAGCTCATACCTCCTCCACCCCTTCCATTAGCAGAGGACGCCTCTCTGCTAACCAGGACCTTTCAGGGGCAGGCACCCCATGGTGGTAGTGCAAGACGTTCCAGGTCCAGGACCCCAGCAGGTCCCAACAGCTGCCACACCTCTCCCGTGGAGCTGCGGCCCTGCAGGGCATGCCCCTCCCAGCCAGCCCTCTGCTTGCCGTCCTGCGGGGCAGCCTCTCTGGCTTGGCAGGTTGCTTCCTGGCAGCTTCCCGGTCAGAGGGCTGCGTGGTTTCTAGGACCACTGTGGTGCCATCGCTTGGCAGGACACCAGAGTCAGCTCTCGCTGTGGACAGTCCTCCTGCCTGAGCGCAGTGTGGGGCGAGCCTGACCCCGTTCTCTCCCTGCCTCCAGGATGCGCTGCAGGAGATGTACAAGCAGAAGGGCGTGTTTCCCGGGGAGCAGATCCGGCCTGCCCGGCGGCCGTGGACCCTGCTGAACTTCCTGTGCTGGGCCACCGTCCTCCTCTCCCCGCTCCTCAGCTTTGCCTTGGGCGTCTTTGCCAGTGGATCCCCTCTCCTGATCCTGACCTTCCTGGGGTTTGTGGGAGCAGGTAATGAGCACTACGGTAACAGCCCACCGTGTGGGAGTGTCCCCGCATGCCGGCTTCGGTGCCCAGGACTGGACAACTCATCCTGGTGGCCCTGTGGGGCTGTGGCTCTCGCCCCTAAGCTGCAGGGTCAAGGAGTTCACGGGCCATGTCCTCGGCCCACCGCTGCGGTACTTGCACTGAAGCTGTCTGGTGAGGACACCATTGAGATGTCCCCAGTCACTGTGTCTGCATTCAGGCCCCTGGGGGGTGGGCTAGGCTGGTGGCCTGAAGGTCCACCTGGGACATTCTCATTATTCAGCCCCCTCTTGAGCTTTAGTGATCCTCCTGGTGGGCCTGTCCTGGATTACATCGCCAGGTGCCTGCTGGACTTGGCCTGGCTGGCAAATGGACACCCACTGTGCATGTGCCCCTGTGGACTGTCCCTGCAAATGGATGGGCTTCTGTGGAGGGACACAGTGTCCACCTGCATGGCCCCCAGCTGCCAGGCCCACTTCCCTAGGCGGCTCCTGGCGTGCCCTGCTTCTCCTTCAGGACAGTGGGGGGGGGGGGTCCTGAGAGGTGACTGACCTCTGCCATGGGACAGCACGTTCACTTGGGACCACCCTCAGGGGACAGGACGTGGCTGGTTTCATCTGAGCATCCTGCTTGTCCGTCTCACCTGCTGGGGTTTTGTAAGGCCAGTCTGTTCCCGCCTCTTAGGCCCTGCTCAGAGCAGCCAAGGCTCCTAGACGGGCAGGCCGGGCACCAGGCACGCAGGTCGGCTGCCTCTGCCCCTGCGGGAGAAATGCCTCAGCCCTCACCCGTGGCAGTGCAGCCCAGACCCTGCCTGCCCCCAGTGGCAGCCCGGCCCCGAGCTCAAGGAGAAGCCGAAGCCCCCTCCGGTGGCCTCCCTGGATGGGGCAGGAGAGAGGCTGGCAGAGGAGGGGCCGAGCCTCGCGGCTCAGTGCGGAGCTCAGCCTGACCTCTTCTTTCTCTCTCCTGTTTTTCAAGCGTCCTTTGGAGTCCGCAGACTGATAGGAGTGACTGAAATAGAGAAAGGCTCCAGCTACGGAAACCAAGAGTTTAAGAAAAAGGAATAATTACTGGCTGTGATTGAACGCACATAACCCGACGTGGTATCAAATTAACTCAATTAAAAACAGAACAACACCCACAGAGCGAGGGGAAAGAGACACTTAGAAACTATTTTTCTTATTAACTGGTGACTAATATTAACAAATAAAACTTGAGCCAAGAGCAAAGCACTCAGAAGGCCTGCGGTGACGGCGTGCGCTCCCAGCTCCCACGTGCAGGACCCTCCCGAGTCCCGAATCCCGGGCAGAAGCAGCTCCTCCCGGGAGCCCCTCAGGGCTGGCAGGATGGAGGAGGCCCCTGGGGTGCTSCTCAGACTCCCCTCCAACAGGGGCCTGGGCTGCTCTCTCCTTAAACTTTGGTGGAGGTTTTGGTTTTTATCAGTCATCTCGGGAACCCACCCTGGCCCTCCTCCTTGCGCCCCAGACACTGGCTCTTAAAGAACTTTCTGCTGTCCTCCCCGTGTGGGGGCACGGCCCAGCCCCAGAGCGCACTCATCCCACCCGCTTTGCACCTTGGCTTCTGGATGGTGGGAGGGCTCCAGAGAGAGAGTCCCTTCTGTGATCAGCACACACTGAATGTAAATCAGACTGATTCCCAGCAGGCCCCATGGTTGTCCTGCCTCCCCTGGGGCCGGCTGCCCCCCTCCTTAACCTGTGTGGAAATGCCTTCCAGCTCTTTTAAAGTGAGTGGGCTCCTGGCAGCTCCAGGGAATGCGGCATTCTCCTGTTCCCAGAGCTGCATTGTCCTGTCCCTGTCCTTGTCTTCATGGCCACCAGGCTCTAGCCCCCTGGACTGGGGCTGGGCTAGAGGGTCATGCAGGGCCCACAGATTAAGAGCCAGCCCTGTGGGGGCCTTGGAAGGAGGCGCGTGGGGACAGCGGATGCCACCTGTGGGCTGACTTGATCTCACTAGCTGGCCTCTGGCTGGCCTTCCTGATGGAGGGGGCACCCTGTGTCCCGGGGAGGGCCTGCCTCTGTCCAGGCAGATGTCATCTCACCAGGCCTGTGCCCACAGTGCCCCGCTCCCACCTTGGTGACGTCCCTGAGTGTCCCCACAGGACAGGGTGTTCTCACCGAGGTCCCCTGGGCCCACCGGGAATGCTTCCTCCTGCAGCACAGTTAATGCACGCTGGGCTTGGTGAGGGCAGCTGCTGGGTGGACAGGAGTGTGTCAGGCCCCTCCTGGCTTCCAGTGAACCCAGGCCTCCTTGGCTGCTGTCCACCCTGTCCACCACCTGCATTGGGCTTTTGTCTTGAACCTTGAACTGGCTCTTTTAAAGTCACTCCCTTCATCTTTTTTAGCAAGGGAGAAAAAAACGGGTGTTCTCTCTGATACATTGTAACCAGCATTCTGAACACAGGCAGAAATGGAGGAAGGGCCTGGAGGAGACTAGGGACCGAGCGAGAGTGACCGTGCCTCGGCCCTCAGTGCTGGGGGAGATTGGGCGAGGTGGTGCCTCCTCTCTAGGGGACGCTTCTGAGCCGTGTGGTCTGTGTGGAAGGCAGAGGGGAGCCCCCGTGGGCATGTGCGGGCTGGTGGGTGACAGGGAGTGGCACGTTCCTTGTGAGGGTGGCGGACAAACCAAGCAAGACAAGAGGAGACACTGAACCTCTTCCCTCGGCCTCACCCGTCACTCCCGGCCTCCTCCTTTGCACAGAGCCGGGTGCCCCTCTGGGTGGCCCCACCCTGAGGTTTCCTCCCGTGCTGGCTGCTCCTCTCTCTGCCCCTGGTTAGGTCTGCATCTGCCACTAGTTCACTGTCACCTAGGAAATCCCAAGGGAAAAGGCCAAGGGCACTACATGCACGTCCATGCCCCAGGAATGCAGTCTCCCATTCTGCCATGAATTAATAGCTCTGGCTTCCCAGAGAGTCTCCCTCCCTTTGAAGTCAATATATAATATAGATTCCGCATTGAGTCCATGAGTGAACCGTGAGGGGTCCAGGCACAGGCTTTACCTCTGCCGTGGAGAGGCTGATGACCGCAGCCCAGCGTGCACATCTGATACGAGCCTTCTGAGAGCAATAAAAACTACACCGTGAATGTTTGGGGTTTTTTGTATTGTTTTTTGAGGGTACTGGATTTTGCTTTCCATTTGCTTCAGAAGGAAAGGGGAGGAGAGCCCCTTGATTTTAAATTAAATGAGTCTCTGCACGGTGCTGTTCTCTCTTCCTTCATGCTCTACTTCTGAATCCAGTCGTTTCTGATGTCATGTCCAGGTTCAGGCTGTGTTGGGGCAGAAGCAGTCCGACGGCCCTCAGACATGTACTCATGTCCTCCGGGGCTACAGGTAGGGAGGTCCTGCCTGCTGCCCTGTGGCTCATGGTGCTCCTCCAGAGCCCAGCACCTGGCCRGCTGAGCTCAACCTGGGACAGGGTCTCCTGGGCTGTCTGCTCCGGCCCAGGAGCAGGTGCCCTGGGGACTCCATCCACAGCCTTCTGCTGCGGCCAGTTTGTGGAGTTGCCCCCACAAGCCAGCTGAGGCAGACTCTGATGCCGTGGGGAGCCGGGAGGAAGCGGCCAGCTCTTGGGGCCTCTCTAGGGAGCTGTGTGATGCCTGGCATGTCACAGTGCCTTTGTGCAGCTACCAGTGTCTAGGGACCTTGTGCTCTTCTCCAGGGGTTTTCTACTAGTGTCCTAACAGTGGTTGTCCCCAGGGCTCAGGGAGAGAAACTGGGGACAGCTGAGTGGTCAGAAGGGAAGGCACTTCTTCAACAGGGACACTCTCTCCTCCCAACAAAGGCCTTGAGGGGGTCTGAAAAGGCTTCTCCCTGACAAGCCGCCAACCCAGAGAAGGGGGCCACCCAAGGCCCAGCTGGTGAGGTGCTGTGAAGTCCCTGTCCTCAAGGAGCAGAGCTGGTTTGAGGAATTGAGCTCTGAATAGATGAACCACTGAGCAACCCAACCAGCACCATAAAGCACTTTCTTATAAAAAAAACCATGCCAGTCATTACCACCAACCAGTTCTGAATCTGCCTGTCTGCCCCGTCCTTCCCTCTGCACCGGCTGGAGAACCCCCCCGGCCCTGGTCTGTTCGGGGTGTTGCTGAGCACTGACGCTGAAGAAAAGGCAGTGGCCGGACCCAGCTGTGTGTCACGCTCTTGTGTCATTTATGAGATGTCAGGAGGCCACCGTGCCCCTGGGGACTACCAGCTAAATCTGATTCCGGGGGATGAATAAGTGGCTCTTTCTGCATGTTGCTTTGTCTCTGCCTGAGACCTTATAGGACAGGCCAAGTGACACCCTCCTAGCCTTGCTGACTGTCTTCTGGATCGTGCCACCCAGGCATACCTGCTGCTGCAGACCCCTCCCCGCTGGCCGACTGCATGCGGTCCCTGCATGCATCTCTCGTGCTGAGCGGTGTGGCGTGGCGTGGCAGATTCTGACCCTTCTACAGTGTGACGAGGCTCGGGGTTAAGACAACGAGTCTGATGCACCCGCCTACCTTCTTTCTGTCCCTGGTCCCCGGGCCTGCCCCTTTCTCTAGTGGGCTGTCTCCCCAGCCCCAGGCAAGCCACCCCAGAGCAGCTTGGGCCTGGGGGGTGCACCACTGATCTGGGCTTTGGCTTTATCCCAGAACACTGCTGGGGACTGCCCGGAGGGTACTGGCCATGGGCTCCAGATTCTGTTGTATCAGGGCCAGGGATGTCACCCTGCGATCTGCTTGCTGGAGAGGGGTGGGCGTGTATGAGTGAGGTTTGTTACAAGCATTGGCAGCTTCGGGGGAAATGGCAGCACTCTCCTCACCTGCTCCGAGAGCACTCTTGCGAGCCCAGGAGGTCACCGGAGACGCTGACGTGAGTCAGCCTGGGCAGCAGCCACACGGGCTCTTCACAGATGACGGGTTGTTGCAAATTGCTTTGTGCTGACAAGGTCACCTGGAGCTCTCTTTTCTCCTTAATTTTTCAGATTAACTTTTTGTTGCAGAAGTATTTAGACAGCAATTGAACTGTGAATGAGATACTGAAATGCACTAAATCGTATTAAATTAAACTGGAGTTACTTGATCCAATGAAGACTTGCATCTGCTCTAGTTGTATTTATTGTCTCAGAATTGTATGTTGTGACAATCAAATGTTCCTTGCCTCCATGCCAGGAGACGCCACTGGCTTCTTAATCCTGAGGATTGCCAGCAAGCGCGGACTCCACACGACCATCTCTGGAAAACCACGCAAACCACCGACTGCAGTGCCGCGTGGCAGACGTTGGGGTTCTTTTTCTATCCTTGAAAAATTGCCATGCCCGACGTCATCGCCACTTTCAAAGGGATACATTGTATACAGGGTGCAAATGTATTATAGGGTGTTTCCTTTTGTATACTTCATTTTTACAAGTTTTGCTACTCACGAGCTTTATGTAGTCGAGGAGAGGTATTTTGGTGTGGAAACTGGTCGGTCGGGGTGGGGGTGACTTAGACTTCATAGGCCCGTGTCCCCAAGGACTGGCGGTGCTGTTCTGCAGACGTCTGTCTGCAGGGCTGCGTGGAAGGCTGCGTGAGCGGCGCTCAGCTCTCGTGCGGTGGTATTTTCTGGGTAAATGCTGCAGGCATCATTCTTGTTTGTTAGAAATGCTGCTGTGAAGGAGAGAAAATGTCCACAATATAAGAGAAAGTGACTCTCGGCCTCCTTTCGTTTCTTTATTTGTGGTCTGCACAGATCTTTCCAGGGGGGAAGCAGAGGGCCACCGGACGGTCCCTGTGCCCTGGCTCTGACCTGGGAGCCACACAGCTGAGGGCACTGCCCTGTCTCTCCCTGMTGCCTGATGGACAGGCTTCTCTGGGGCCTCCTTCCAGGTGGCCTTGGCAACAGAGACCTGCCCCACTTGGGCTCCTGGGAGGCTGGGAAGCCAGGGCTCAGTCAGGATCTCTGGAGAGTCCCACCCGTGCCCTGTCTGTCACACATGCACACACCGCACACCCACGCACGCGTGCCGTGTGACCCAGCACAGGTAAGGGCACACACATCCCGAGTGGTGTGGTCCTCCAAGTACAGCCCCTCTAGGAAACGGACTTTGGAGAGCGTCCTCACGAGCAGGCCTCCTCCAGGGCCAGGACTCGAGCCCTGACGTCCGGGTCCCTGCAGCAGCGGGCGCACGGGGAGACAGCTCACTGAGAACACGCTCCCAGATGGCCTGCGGTCCTGGGAGGAGGCCGCTTTGCGGCAGACACTGCTCCTCCTGCTCAAGGCCTGCTGCTGGGCTGGGCCAGGACAGGCCAGGGAAGCTCGCCATCAGACTTGTCCTACCTGTGGTCAGTGGGCCACGTGGGTGCACCCACACCACCCGACTCCCATCCTGAGCCCCGGGAAGGGACAGGGAATGGTCAGTGCAGGCGCTAGAGGACCAGCTCACCAGGGCTCCCAGGGTCTCTGCAGCCCCCTGCTGTGGGTGTTGGCCTCACAGCACCTGCCAGGATGGAGTCGCTCTGAAGCCTTAGAAGCTCAGGCRTAGAAAGTACCAGAAAGATTCTTCCGTCAAAAATCTGTCATAGCTTCTGTTGCCTGCAAAGCAGCCTGCTCTGCCTCTGCCCGACCTGCATGGTGCTGGCCTCCACTCCCCCTTCCTCTGGACAGCCAGAGCCAGCAGCTGTGTTTCCATGGGACAGGGTGGTGGCGGAGGGGGAAGGATTTGGATTCGGGGTCTGGAGGCCTCTGAATTTTAATCCAAAACACACTCCTTATTGCCAGAATGGCCCAGCACTTGCCCTGTGTGCCCTTGAGTTTCCAGTCTGTAAAAGAACTTTGAACAGAAGAAGTGAGTGGTCGCAGACCTGGCAATCTGCACACCCTGGAGCACTGGCCTCACTAGAGACCTGGTGTCCTGCTCTGGACCCTTTGCCTGGGCAGCTGCCATGGCCAGGTGGAGTGACCCCTCAGAAGGGCTCCTTCCTACACAAGGGCACTGTCCTCCAGGGAGGAGAGGGCATCACTGTGGCTGTGGCGGGCTTCTGGACACTTCCCCGTGGACCTCACACAGCTCCTCTGCCCCAGTGTCCATTTTTCTGTCACTTTCAACCTTCTCTGTGTCATATTTTCCAAGCCCAGTGTGTCCTGACACTTCCTTAGGTCCCTGCCTCCGTCGTGTCCACTGTGATGTGCCGAGCTGCTTGTGGTAGAGATGATTGCGTGGAGCACCGTGGCCAACAGCGTCCACCTCCACGAGAGAATGGCCTCAGGCACCCAAGGAGGTGGGCGCCTGGCCAACCACACCATGACCTGACCGCCCAGAGCAACACATGGAAGCCGGGGATGGGGCCCCAGTCCCCCGCCCAGGCAGAGAACCCCGCACCCGAAGCAGYGTCCCACCGAGGAGCCTGTTTGCAGAGACCTGAGTCAGGAAGTCAGATCAGGCAGCAAAGGTGCACGGAGCTGGGGATGTCTCTACAGAGCTCCCCGGGGAGATCCTGCCTCTGGGCACACTTGTCCCCAAGGTCCCCAGGTTCTCATCACTTTCAGGACAAGAGGCTCCACACACTGTCTTAAAAGGTCTCAGTTCATCCAAAAGACTCTCCTGATGGCGATGGCTCAGTGGTCAGACCCACCTGCCAGGGCTTTGTAAGAAGCCTGACTCACAGGGCCAGCCGAGCCCACTGCCCTATGAAAAGGGGGCAGTGGTGCCTCCTCCAGTGTCCTGCTCATCTCCCATCGCCAGAGCCAGCTGAAGGACAGGGTCGAGGACACCCCGTGGTGTGGCCATTCGGGACACGGAGCCGGGGAACAGGGCGGGAGGGGGTGGAGGGTGAGGGACTGCAGGAAGGGGTCTTGGAAGGGGGGCGGGTGGGTCTCCAAGGGGAATGTTGCTGGAAGCTCCCAGGCTGCCTGCACGGCGGGCTCATCTCTGTCCGGGGGCTGTTCTGCATGGCTCTGGAGGCCTGGGGAGCACCGGGGTGGGGGGGGGTGAAAAGGAAGAGCCATGAGGCCTTCAGAGAAGTGGGGGGCTCCAGGAAGAACCTGCCCCAGCAGCACACCAACCCGCGGGCAGAGGAGAGAAGGGGCGCGAACACTCACGTGCCCACCCCGGACTTGGGGGCCCCGGAGTACCTGCCCATTACCACTTGGTCCCCTGTCCCACAAGGGATGGGGTGTGTTAGGTCAGTGGTGGCAACTTGGTGGCACTTAGAACAAAGCAGCCCGCGGGTGGGGGGGGACATCAATCAGGCGCCAGCAGAAATGCCTGTCAGTCAGCCAGATCTCCTGACTAACGCCTGTCAATCAGCAGGACCCCCTGGCTAATCCTGGAGTTCAGCCAACTCCCCTGACCAACTCCAAGGGGACAAGGGACACTAAGAACACCTTTTCCTGTCCCAAACCCTTCCCTTCCTGCTGTGAGTCCCGTAAAAGTCCAGTCCGGTCAAGCTCCCACGCGGTTTCTCCTCAGACCCTCCTCCTGTCCWCTCTGTGAGTCTGATCGAGTTCYTCCYGGGGGTGATATCTCAATAAAGCCTGTTCAGCGGCCCTTTTAAATCTGCCTCCTTGGGTCGCTGCCTGCCTMGCCTGATCTGACAGAGTGAGCTCAGGAAGTGCCASTCTTCCCACGGCTGGCACCTTGATCCCCAAACCATAACAAAGGCAGGAGCGCCCCTGGCGGCGTCCTCAGGCCATTACAACCATCAACTCACCTCGCAGTGACATGAGTGGCAAGGCTGACCTTGAGCTGGTCAGCCTGGTGCCAGCGTCCACAACAAAGAAGGTGCTGCGCAGCTGCTGCAGCCTGCGGAGGCGCCCCACGGTTTTCAGACCGAGGGAATCCCATCAAGGGGTCGATCTTATTTTCTCAGTGTTGTTCAGAGCCAGGACTCAGTGGGCTGGTCCCCAAGTTCATCCTCACAGCTGTGTCACTACAGTCCATGCATTTCCTGTGGGACTGCGGCTTCATGACACTGACCACCCCACACATACCTCTGAGAGTTCAAGGTGAGATACGGAGGTGCAGGCTGAGAGAGGACTCACTGGGAAGAGGTGGGCTCTGCTCCCTGGACCCTCCCACTGTGGCTGGGCTTGCTCCCCCCTTGCTTGCTGCCGTCGGGTGGCTCTTGGTGTTGATTTTGGTTCTGGTGCTGGGGAGCAAGCCTGGGGTGCTTCACCCCGAGCCCCACTCTCAGTCCTTTCATTTTCAAACAGGGTCTCACTAAACTGCTGACAATCTTGCTAAGTTGTCCAGGTTGGCCTTGAACTTGTGCTCCTCAGCCTCAGCCTCCCGAGTGGCTGGGATCACAGGTGTGTGTGACCACACCCACTTAGCTGACTTTTAAAGTCACCAACATTGGAGGTCAGGCAGCTGCAGTATGCATCCCACCCGGTAGCGCTGCTGTAGATGACACCTCTGTCCCCGGTCCTGTGGGTCGTGATGATAATGGTTGTCCAGGCTGCTTTTCAGGGACTTAAAGGCTGCTTTTGTTGATCACTCACTCTTGCCTGGGGACTGCACAGGTGTCAGATGGCTGAACTTTGACCTCAGGGGTCCAAAAGTCCACACCCAGAGCAGGGTGACGCTGCCATTTTCTGCACATGCATTGTGCACAGACGCCGTGACTTCACCTGCACCGGCCCTCCGGGCCCCACCGACTACCCTGCCCCTCTGCCCCTCACCTGGGGAGCTGGACTCAGCCCTTCTCTTCCGTCTCTCATGCTGACTGCCCAGGGAGTGGGATTCTCTTTTGGAGGCTGGTCATCAGGGTGATGGTGCAGTGGGCTGAGTGGTGGGCAGATGTGACCTGCTGGTGTGGAGGGGGGTCTGTCTCAGCTCGAGGTGGCCAGGGAGCGAGCGTGCTGGACGCTGGGGCTTCCTCTCCTGAAATCTCCACAGCTTCCCTCCTTTCCTACGGCACGTTTACCTTTTTCTGATTGATTCACAAGCATTCTGCATAGAATTGGGATGCACTGATCTTTCTGTCAATCTTTTTTGTGTTATAAAATTCCTCATTTCTGGCTTGCGTTTTCCCTTTTTCATATCTTGTGATGCACAGGCTTCTTTCATTTTAATGAAAGTGACTTTAAGGATTTTTCTGTTATGTTTTTCATG